GACAAGCTCAGCGTCTTAGCCACTGCGTCCCTAAAAGATTCATATATGTATGTATGTATGGTATGTATGGTTATGTATGTATGTACGTATACATACACACTTAAAAGTTTTGTATATCAATTCAACCCTAGCTCCTTTCACTGTGGGAAATATAGGTTGCCAAAAAGTCACATTTCTCTCCACCAAATTATGTTCATCAAATTTTTAAAAATCAAGAGAGTAACAAACCAGAAACAAAAGGAAAGGAAACATAATACCTAAAAGTTTCACAATGCTTTTGGAAGTTTTAATCCCCAAACCTCTCAATTATGCTAAAGACAGAACATTCAGTAGGCAAAGAACTGAATACAGAATTATTCGGATAATAAAGAACTGGATATGGGAACAAAATGAAATATCCCTTCCAATTTATAGCAAGAAGGGAAGAATCTAAGCAGGTACAAGAGAGATAACAGTTGTTCAATGGAAATGTCATGAAAAGCAATTTTTTTTAAAAAACAAGCTCCCCAATTACTATCCAGAACAAGATTCAAATATTATTAATTCTGTACTTCCCTGTATGCCCACAAGGGCCAAGGTTATGATAAGTATTCCCTTATCAGCAAAACAACATTGTTAAACGGGGACTGGCACGGGTATTAAATCAATCATAAATTAAGTGTTCTCTGAAACACACTAATGGAACATTAATAGTACATAATTTGACTTCCTTGGCATTGCAATATTCTCTTGAAACATGATGTGAAAGAATAATTCACACCATCTGTTAGAGATATCCATGTGGGAGTGGCCTTCTTTTCTTTTCTTAATCGCACGCTTCCTACTTAAAAAAATACAGTGTTGGCGCTGTGACATCTTATTTGAGGAATTGCCACACAATAAGGAATGTTAAGAGTAGGGAAAAGGTGTACAACTACTACAGGTAGTCCCCGACGTACGACAGTTCATTTAGTGACCATTCAAAGTTACAATGGCATTGAAAAATGTGACCGATGACCATTTTTCACTCTTACGACCGTTGCAGCTTCCCCTGTGGTCACATCATCAAAAGCAACTGACTCATATTTATGACGGTTGCAGTGTCCCAAGATCATCTGATTCTCTTTTGCAACCTTCTGACAAGCAAAGTCAAAGGGGAAGCCAGATTCCCTTCATAACCGAGCTACTAATTGAACACCTGAAGTGTTTCGCTTAACGACTGTGGCAAGAAAAGGATGTAAAATGGGGCAATACTCACTTAACAAACGTCTCGCTTAGCCACGGAAATTTTGAACTCAGTGGTGGTCGTACGTCGAGGACTACCCCATATTAAGGCATGGCTTGACCAACTGCCAAAGACTGGCTCTGTAGAACACGTGAAGCCTTCACGCCAGCTTCAAATCCAGCCTACAAATGGAACCAAGGATCTATAACTGTGCTATGCAAGCCTTGCTTTCCAGAACGGGATACCAGCCAGAGGTGGTATTCAGCCGGTTCGTGTAAACCGGTTCGTGTGAACCGGTAGTGGAAATCGCGGAAGGCACGCGAGCAAGCACAGTGCATGCGCGGAAGTCCGGCCGCATGTGCGTGAAGCGAGCGTACACATGGGGCAAACTGGTGGTAAGAATATTAGAAACCCACCACTGATACCAGCCCATAAAAACTGAGCTACAGAAAATAAAATATCCTTCCATTCAGTCAAATGCAACCTTTCATTTCGTGATTCAGGCAAGCTAGCTAGAACCTTTGGCCAAGGATTGTCTTCTTTCAGAAGAAAACTGTGGTCGGGGTGATACAAGAGTATTATTTAACACAACGACGTCTGTAACTAGACTTATTGCTTTTTACGTCAGATGAGCTCAAACCCCTGCAATTCCAGACTTTGTTCCTTCCCTTACTTCAACTGCCGCTTCCATTTCTGAGATGTTTATTTCTCCTGATGCTTTTGGTGTCAACAACCAAAGTACAAGTTCAAAGGCAAGAAATGGCCCCCTGGCTTGCAACGTGTATATATACACACACACACTTTAATACTGGGTTTACTGCACGTGTATAAAGACCACCATAATGGTGACAAATAACCCGAAAAGGTTCCTTTAAAAAAAAAAAGATTATTATTTCTATATGGAGATTTTCTTAATAACGCAAGAATGAGTTATTGCAAAGTGATATCTTTATTAATTTCTTCACTGAACTGTATAAAACGCAGGGCCTCCATTTAGGATTTTTACAAGTTTGTGCATGTGTTAAATCAATTAACACTGCTCTCCCAACCCCTTGCACATTTAATCTGTAACACCTTGGAACATAAAACTGAGATTAGACAATTATGCAAGAATCAAATGGAAGAACCAAGAACAACATTGCTGAAAAGCTTTTGTAGTTCTGGGTGGGGAAAAAAAAGTGATATCACTGTGTCTACAACTGGCTTACTTGTTTCACTGCATGAAAATGCTATATATATTGGTTACAAAGTGATATGAGCTGTAAATATCTTTCTTATTAAACATGATAGTGCAGAACCCTGTAACTCTAGTGTTTGAAGAAGATATATTTTAATGGCTGCTTAACTTCTTATCACACATCAAACTAAGCCATAATGTGGCCTCATTTAGGCTGAATGTGTAGTGCAAACCTAGGTACTTAAGGCCTATTCAATTAAAGCAAACCATAGCTTAATGCAGAGGTCTTCAAACTTGGCAGCTTTAAGACTTGTAGACTTCAACTCCCAGAATTCTCCAGCCAGCTATGGTATGCTGGCTGGAGAATTCTGGGAGTTGAAGTCCACAAGTCTTAAAGCTGCCAAGTTTGAAAACCTCTGGCTTAACGTGTTACATAAACCAAGCCTCTTGACCATAACCATGGAAAAAATACACTTTCTTGAGTTAACTAGACAAATTGCAGTTTCAAGATGAGACAAGAACTTTTTATCAACTACTGATGATTAAGTAGGAAATCATTTTGATATATGATGTATACAGTACACGTTATCCAAGCTCTACTAAAACAGGATGACAGGTAACAGCACAAAATCTATGCTAAAAATCTGGGAGACATACTGTCGGTGGATCCATACAAGAAGTTGTATCAGATGAGAAGTATAACTTAGTGTAAAGCTGGCTGGGGAATTCTGGGAGTTGAAGTCCAAAAGTCTTAAAAGTTGCCAAGGTTGGACACTCCATAATACACTACTACTAACTGAAGGAAACCAGCAAACGAAACAATCTCATTAATTACTTAATCCAGTAGGTAAATCTAACCATACAGTTATTGCTTTTTTATGCCCCAAATCATTTAAAAGGTACGTTTCACTCTTTTTTTTAACAATATACTTGAAGGCTAACTCATTGTTCAACAAAGTTTACTTTATTTCCAATCTCTATTAATTCGGTTCAATTGACTCTCCAGCTTTCAGCTCATAATTTAACTGATCATTGTATAACACAAATGTCAACACTAGCCTTGCCAGAAAGGGAAATTATGTGAATGGATCCACTTTCAGCCAAAACTAGTCATTTAACAGGATTATGGCATGGCATGATCTGACATCTTTAAAAGGAGCCAGTTTTAGCTACAACTGTATTCACAAGCATGTAGCTGACAAATAAAACTTAGCTGCTTTGTTAGTTCCCTGAACAGCATCATATTCAGATGCAGCTTAACTATAATATGATTAAATTCTATCATCCCTCATTTCATCCTCTGAAGTTGCAGAGTTACAAATTTCACCTTACTGGCTACGCACAAACACAGCCATCTGTTGCATTCACAAATCATGCTTAGCTAAAGATTTAACCATTGTTAGACGGGTAAATCACAGTAGCCAGGTTCTCACAGATGTGAAGGCATTATGGCTGGGTTACTCTTCTGCGTTAAATAAACAAGTACATTATCAAGTTAGTTTAATGTATCCAACTAATTTCTGATATATTATGCGATTACAGTAGAAGTGGAACATACTAAAAAAAAATGGTATTTTGAAGCCTATTTAAATGACATATAATAATAAAATACCCCAGGAACATTATGGTTTTCTGCTGTATGTGGAATTCTATCCTTTCGCTTGAATAGTTTATACAGACCAGTGAAAAATCTAAGGACAATGAAGTTCCATTATCTGGATCGTATCCTGATCCACAATGCAGCGAAATAGGCTTCTGGATGGGCACTGGATGGGTAAATGCGTTGTTCATAAAATAAGGGAAAAAAATTGCAGGATGAACACTGCAGTTTTTAAAAACTGAAAACGAAATACATGAAATATACAAATAAAAAGTATAAGCTGCCTTGAAACTCTCCGATAATCTCCAAAGAATAGAATGTTGACGAATTTGACATTTATCATGATGAAACTGCTCCCTACAACAATATAAAATCCCATTTTGATGCTGTTAAACTGATGCCAACTGACAATGCACAAGCAGCACAATTTCTTTCTGACCAAAATAAAAACCCCTTCGCATAATTTGCTGAAGGAATGAGAATGCAACAAGGAAAAGACGCTATGCATCTAAAACACTGTAAGATCTCCTTAACCTTTGTTAAATCAAGTGCAACCTGCCACAGAAGAGTTGTGCATCAGCTGTGTTCAGAAGACTTCCTTCCACACCCTGCAAAAGGTCCATTTGTATTCAGAAAGACACCCTTGCCCTGGAATCCTGCATAATGTAACACTAAGAGTGACAAAGATTTTTGTTGAGAAAGACAAAAAACGCGTATTATAATTCACCTTTGCAATGGCCAACTCAAGAAGGTCATTACGGCACAAGAATCCCACCTCCACTGAATCCACAGGCCATGTGTCTTTTATCAGGTATAATCTGGTGTGCAATATGCCTCTTTGCTCGCTCACACACTTCTGTGCACTGAAACACATGTTTCGACCGCACTGGGAGGTGCTTCAGAGTCGTAAGATCAGAAGACACCAACCTGATTGTGCCCTTCTGTAGAATAAGTTCCTGTCTAATTTCAAAATGCACACATACACCCTGGTTTCTCCCCCTCCCATGAAAAACCTGAGCCTACTTAAGCTTCTTAAGGACCCCTCCTCCTTTCTTCCGTGTGCAGAGTGCCAAAGCATCCACAATAGTGTGACGCGAGAAGATACCTACATAATACTGTTACAGGAATGCAAACTGTGTAAAGGTCAAAGAACATCCTTGCACAAGCAACATTGGAAGGGGGGGGGGAGGTGGTGTGGCATTCCATCATGGCAGGTAATGTGTGCCTTTTTTCTCAGACCATGTGCTTCTGGACTGGGGTAGCCAAGCACTCTTAGATTATCCCTTATTACGTGCTTTGCCATAGTGTCACCCACTCATTCATCCACTCAATTCACACTGGAGCCCAGTGGGGTGAGGTTCCTAAGGCAACCTACAGCCACCCCAAATTATCTCTCGATGCCTATTCCCAATAAACACCCCCCTCCCCTCAACCAGTAACTTTATACCACAAATTCAACACAGATCCTTCCTGATCCATAACTAATTCTGGCCAAGCCTTTGCTGATGGACAGGCCTCTCTTCTCACTTCCCAAAAGCTGCTGTTTTGAACCGGATCCCCATGCATGCAAAAGGGGCATCTCAACCCCAGCCCCCAACCCCAGAAAATGTCCAATCTGGGCTACTCTAGTATCCAAGGCCCCGTTCTAGTTCCTCCTTCAGTCTATCCTTGGGACTCAACCTTTTCCAATCTTGAAGCCACAAAACAAGCCAGAAAAACCTCCACGGAAGGACAAGGGGTTACCCCTCCCCCCCCCAGATCCAGGGCACACCCCTGCCCACCCATGCAGCCCCTGGCCCTGCCTGAACACCTGCAGATCCCAGGCAATCCCAACCTGCCTTCCACATTTCAAAAGCCCCCTTTGTGCTGCCATTCACCAAAGAGGTTGATCACTCAACTTTCTGGGCCAGGTGCAATAATGAATAACCTTGGCTGGCCACCCCATCTCCTCCCCATTTACTACACCCCATTGCAGACTAAAATGCAACCTTTCCCCACAGATCTCATTTTGCAAATGTTTCCTTTGGGGAGGGGAGGTTATAAAGGCCTGCAAACGATCCCCCCTGTCCTCCCCACCTCAAGTCCTGCCCCCAAAGACCCCCTCTATTCCCTTCCCCCACCCATGCCTCCAAAGACCCCCCTCTCCTAACCCCCCAAGCCCTGACTCCAAAGAGCTCCCCTCTGCTCCCTCCTCCAACCCTACGTCTTGACCTCGAAGACCCCCCAGTCCTTACTTCCTCCCCCCAAGTCCTATCCAAGAGCCCCTCTCCTCCCTTCGCCCCCTCCAAGTCCTAACTCCAAAGACCCCCCTCTCCTGTCCCCTATGTCCTGTCCCCCAAAGACTCCCTCTGCTCCCTTCCCTACCTGCCTCTGAAGACCCCCTTCTCCTGCCCCCCTCTGCTCCAGTCCTCCCCCCAAGCCCTGCCTCCAAAGACCCCCTCTCCTGTCCCCCAAAGACCCCCTCTGCACCCCTTCCCCTCCTTCCTCCGAAGACCCCCTTCTCCTGCCCCCCTCTGCTCCAGTCCTCCCCACAAGCCCTGCCTCCAAAGACCCCCTCTGCACCCTTCCCCCCACCCCCTCCTTCCTCCGAAGACCCCCTTCTCCTTCCCTCCCCCCTGCCCACCCCCCAAAGACCCCCGTCCCCTCCCCAGGTTCCCTTCCTCACCCCACCACGCCGGGGCTGTAATTCGTCTTCTTCCACGGGGTGCCGGTGTAGGCCGGCTCCTCGGCCCGCCCGGCGGCCTCCCCAAAGGCCCGTTCCCCAAAGCCGGCCGCCGCTTTCCCCGGCGGGGCCCAGCAGCAGCGTGCAGTTGAAGCCGAAAGTGCTGGCCTTGTTGTCCCGTTTCCTCTTGTTGCTGGCCGCCGCCGCCGCCGCAGCAGCCGCAGCAGCGGCAGCGGCGGCAGCGGCACCAGCCGAGGCCGCCGGAGCCGCGGGCGAAGCCGCACGGGGAGCCGAGGCCGCGGCGGCCGGAGAAGGCCCCGCGGCGGCTACTCCCGAAGAAGACACGGCGGTAGCGGAGGAGGAAGAGAAGAGGAGGAGGAGGCCGCGCCCTGCGGGGCAGCGGGGGTCGCTTGGACGCCGGGCCGGGCTGCCCAGGCGGGAGGCTGCGGGGAGGCCTGGCGCTGCTGCTGCTGCTGGGATGATGATGGTTGGTGGTGGTGGTGGTGATGGTGGGGCAGGCCGGCGCTCTCCAGCGGCAGGAAGTCGGGCTGCGGGTCGCCGCCACGCGGGACGCGGGACATGCCGGGCGGCGGCGGCGGCGGCGGGGACGAAGCGGCGGAGGCGGCCACGGGGGTCGACGGGGAGCTGCTGCTGCTGCTGCTGCACGAGGAGGCGGACGAAGAAGAAGAAGAAGAGGACGACGACGAGGAAGACGAGGCCGGGGCGGCGGCGGCCGGCTGGCTCTGCTGCTGCTGCTGCTGCTGCTGGAAGTAGAGGTTGCGGACCCCTTGCGTGGTCTCCCAAATCTGCATCCACAGGCGGTTCGAAGGGCCGAGCTGCTCTGGCTGGAACCAGGCGATCCGGGGATCCATCAAACGGCGAGCCGGCCCAAGAACGACGGGGCGGCGGCGGCGGCGGCGGCGGCGGCTCCTCCTCCTCGCCCTCCTACTGCCTGCCGCCGCCGCTAGTGCCGCTGCCGCCGCCGCCGGGCCGGGCAGGCCCAGCCCCGCCGGCCTTCTCGGGAGCGCGGCGCCCTGCGGGGAGCGGCGAAGCGGAGGAGCCCGGAGGCGGCGGCGGCAGAGGAGGACACACGCGCGCGGGCGGGCGGGCGGCCGGGAAAGCCGGGCGACCTGGCGGGAGGAAGAGCGAGCGAGAGACACAGAGAGAGAGACAGAGAGAGAAGCGGCTGCGGCGGCTGTTGCTGCTGCTGCTGCTTCGCCGCCCCTCCCGGCCAAGCAGCAGCGCGGAGCGAGAGGCGAGCGAGGCGGGGCCCTGTCGAAGAGGCGGCCGCCGCCGCTGCCGCCGCCACCGCCGCCTCCCGGGCCGCGCGTAATAAAGGCGTGGGAGGGAGAAGGAGAAGGCCGGGCGGCCTCGGCGGAGAAGGACGGTCGCCCACGCCGTGAAGGGAATCGCCCGGCCGGGTCTTCCTTGCCTCGCAACACGGGATGGAGACGGATCCTCCGCGGACGTAGGCCCGAAAGAGAGAGCGCGGCGGAGTCTCTGGAGGGAGGCCGCCCCCCCCCACACCCCGAAAGGGCCTTTCGGGGTGCTGGGCCGCGGGAGGTGTGAGGGAGGCCTGCTTTGCAGGGAAGCCCCGAGCTTTCCCAGTAGATTGAGGGGACGGGGTGTGAGGGGGTGGGTGGGCGAAAATAGGAAGGGTTTGGGAGGGTTTTCTTTTGAACCTGAGGGGATGGCTGGTTAATGACACTGATCTACATACATTATTTCTATGTGTATATGAAGGTAGTGTGTATATATTACCTTTATATAGATATACATACATACAGATATGGGTGGAGATAGATACAGATATTTATTTATTTCATGTATTTATATGCTGCCCTTCTCCAGAAGGACTCAGGGCGGCGAACACAAGTTAAAAACCATGTACAACAAAATCCCATTTTAATCCAAATATGAGAAACAGATATAAATATGTGCCCACACACACACACCCCTGCACTATTTTAGAAATGGTTAGGAAGAGAGAGAAAAAAAGAGAAATATGGAACTTTTCATTCATCTATTTATTTAATTTATATTCCACTCAATTCCGAATGAAACTGGGCCAAGAGAAGAAAAATGACAGAAGTACTAAACCTTCATAGAAGGGAGGTTTTGTTCATTTATTTATTTATATTATAGAATAATTTTTCCCGTAGGACATACTCTGGGCAAATAACAAAAATGGAAGAATATATATTATTCTAAACCGTCATAGGGAGGGGGGTGTTTGTTCATTTATTAATTTATATTACATTATATAATTTATTGTATTACCAGTATCTAACTCTGGGCAAAGAGCAAAAATGACAGAAATCCAAACTTTCATAGAAAGAAGGGTGGTTACTTGATTCTTCGTAGGTAATCTTTATGCTTTTTACCTCTGAACAGGTGTGCATACACACAAAAACCAAAGCCAGGACTCCAGCCATTTTTAATATTCTCGGGATGCTTCAGGAGGCCGTCTGCAATTGAAGGTCATTCTTAGAAATCAGTGTGACTCTGGAAATACCAATAAAAAAGAATATTTGCAGCTTGGGGTTGAACTGCGGGTCCTTGGTGTTCTCTGAGCTTGCTTTTCTTGCCGACATTTCATGACCCAACTAGGTAACATCATCAGCGCTAGCAAGATTATCTTAATTGGATAATCTAGTAGACACTCCCTTCTAGTACTGATAATGTGACCTACTTGGGTAATGAAATGTCTGCAAGGAAATAACCAAGCTCAGAAAAATACCAAGGACCCCACTTAACTTTGAAGCCTGCAACCTTTCTCCATTTTTTTTTTCAAACTAATCCTTGTGGTTGGGAAGAGTGCAACAGAGTGCCTTCTTAAACATTAAGGAGATGTCCTCCAGGCATTTTGGTGGATCCCAATAGGATCCCACATCCGTGACTTCTCCACATTAAATGCAGTAGCTCAGACTATTGACTCCAAGCTTAAGGTTCAAAGTTAAGATAATTAAAGGTATTTTTTCATCTCCTCAAGTCTCCTACCTTCCTTCTTTTGCACGTACACCCATGCATACACAAAATAAAAGCAAATCTGAAAACATTGAGAATCTCCACCGATCTAACCCAATAATTGCTGCACACCACTGCCAAAATTCCAGGGATGATCAAAGCCACCATAAAGTAAACTATCCTTATATTCAAAGGTCATGTTAATTGTGCCTCCTAATCCAGAGTATCAAAACCTGATGTCGGATTTATTTAATGTAGCTTTTTCTTTCCATTTTGTAGTGCATTTGTGGTTAATCACGTTGAGGGAAGATTTCCATTTACAAATCGTTTCTTGGACAGTATCTCCAAAATCAAAAAGGCTGCAGGAACATCTATTAAAGTACACATTTAGTCTTTTCCAACTTTTCGCCAAGTAAGAGCTCAAATGTATCTGCGTAATCACGGGTATTACATACACATGCCAGTTTTCATGTGCGAAAAGAATTTTGCAATCACTTGTGCCTTTCAACATCTTTATATAGGTAATACTTTAAAGATCGTATTACTCCGTACAGTGTCTAATAAAGAAAGCAGTAACATTTTAGCAATGCATTTGATTCCTAGTTGGTTTGAAAAGAGTTGTTTTAGAGAGCTCATGCATGTCCCAAATCTAAATTAAGCGGGGGAAAGGGGGGAGAGAATTATGTGGTTTTTCTTAGCTCCTTTGTTCCCATTCTGATTTCAACCTCTCCATAATCCTTTTCCTGAGATATGATTAAAATTGGTTTGAATAGCTGGAAAGCAAATGCGTAATTGCAACAATAAAGCTCCATCCGTGTCCCAGATTATTTGGAAGCAGCTACTTATTCCATGTTTGTATTGTACAAGGAAGATCAAATATTAAAGTATGATTTGAAAAAAAAAATCAGAGGATGCCATTGAATCAGTGACACCTGGGGACTAAGTGGAAATGTCCATATGGTTCTCTTGGCAGCCATTTTAGAAGTCCTTCCTAGGGCTAAGACAGAACTGGTCCAAGGATACCCAGATGGAAGGAACAGGACTCCGTTTCCTCACTCCCAGTCCAGCAGCTTAGCCAACGGACCAAACTGCCATATCATTGTTTCGCAGCACAAAATATTTTATTATGATTGTTCAATTTACCAGATTTTCTAGAGTAGGTTAAAAACAGGATTATTCTGCAACTTTCATCTCAAGCTATACCTTATCATGTGAATCACTCGTTACAATCGTTCAGTAACTCAATTCTGATATTGCCTTACTCTGGGAACCTGTAGGAGAAGGAAAGGCAGAGCCTGGAGGCAGGGTCAAGAGAGGACTCAGCCTGGAATCGTTTACCTTCTCACAAGTGGTCTAAGTCCTCTTGAATTCCGTTCATTCTTATCTAGCGCCAATTTAGTGCTGAAAGTTGACTAAATTCTTGTGCATATGAGCCATAAATCAATTCGACTGGAGCTTAATGCATGGTCCTGATTCTTCGCGCCTGATACAGTTTCCCCAAAAACAAGACATCCCGTGATAATAAGCCCAATCAGGCTTTTGAGCGCATGCACTAAAATAAGCCCTCCCTGAAAATATTTAACTGCATGAGCTGCCGGTCCCTGCCATTTCCTCTGGTTAGGGTTAGGGAGACGGAGCTGGAAATCAGGTAAGACAGCGAGGAGTCCCATCTTGTGCCATACGTCCCAAAATAAGACCTCCCCAAAAATAAGGCTGTGGTTATTTCAGGGTTCAAAAAAATATAAGACAGGGTCTTATTTTCGGGGAAACACGGTATTATCTCATTCCTGTTGCAACCCTTCCCGATAGCCATTGTACTAGTGACAGTCAACTGAGAAAGCTTCATTACGCTGAATCAGGCCAACTGGCTGGCCCCAGCTCTCCAGGTTTTAAGGGAGGAGTTTGTTCAACCCACTTGGAAAGACTAGGATTAGATCAGTTCACTGCCTGGCTGCCGAATATGGATTGTACCCCTAGGCTATGACTCACGTTAGAGTTCTCAGTCAGTGAAAGCAAAAGGATAGTAAATTCGAGTTGCAGAAACAAGGGAGGTAGAAACTCAACGGGGTGGGGCAGCCCACGCACAGCAAACGAGGTATAGAAGCATCCATATTGATTGTACAGAGACTGCTTGATCCTGAACCTCATTCGTTGCTGGAATTACTTCATTAAGACTTCCTTATTTTTATTATTATCTGGCCTTCCTTCAATCCAGCCTCTTGGCTGAATGCAGACAAATTTGGCTAGAAGGCTATTTAATCAAAATACGGTAAAATGCTTGTTCAAAGCAAGAAGATATTTGACTGCCCCAAGTTGTGTCAATTTACCCAGGGTACCATAATTGATAATTTACTCTGTTTGATCATAGTTTATCCAGTACAATTATCATAAATTATGTCAGTTATTTCATTGCTATCATTCACCAGCATTGAATCCAAACACAACACATAGTTTCCTTTTGGTAGAAAATCTAGTTATTTTGCATTTTAAAAGCTTTTGGCTAAAAGGATTTCAAAATACAATATGAAGAAATATACTTCTGTATATATTATGTATATCAGCAAAATACAATATGTGAACTTGGCTGTTATCTATAAAGCATTTTTAAAAAGAAGTAGGAAAAGTGTCCATATTTGGACACTGAGAAAACTGGGATCACCCAAGAACAATGTTTTATCCTGTTTTTTTACATTGTACTTTTACTTTTTTAAAAAAAAACAAAAAACAGAAAACCCTGAAATATATCATCAAGGAAATCAAATTATTTTGTCCACATTAAGAAAATGGGCACTTCCATTATAATCTTTTATTTTAGATTTTTTGCTCATTCTTTTTTTAAGAATGGCAGATCAAAACACTTCACCGCATTAAGGACAAATTTTGACCCTTGTGTGGTGCTGAATTCATTTTCACACTTTTCTCTGCCTCTTTCCACCACCACCACCCTCAATATAAGACATATAATATGAAAAGCAGACTTTTAACCCTTTTCTCCTATTATAGCTGTTGTTACAAAGTCCTATAGAATTAATGGTTAAAACATTCGATAAAACTATATTAAAAAAAATAGAGCTTTCCATCCTTATTTCTATTCCAAAACTTTTTTCTTTCTGCCCAATGTCTCTTGATAGGCAATAAATCTTCTTAAATTCAGCTTCACGTTGTCTAAAACACATAGATGTTCTGTGTTATACTGTCCTCTGCCTTCCTTTCGCATCTGCAGTTTAAAAAAAAAAAGAAATGTGGAAGCTC